CATTCAATAAGCCTATTCGATAAGGTGTTTTATTTTTACACATTAAGAGTATGTTCAGGGCGGGCGCCTGGGTGGCTCAGATGGTTGAGCGTCTGCCTTTGGCTCGGGTCGTGATCCCGGGGTTTTGGGACCAAGTCCCACATCGGGCTCCCTGCTCAGTGGGGAGCCTGTTTCTCCCTCTGCCTCTCTCTCTGTCTCTTATGAGTAAATTAATAAAACCTTAAAAAATATATATATATTCAGGGCACCCGGGTGGTTCAGTCGGTTAAGTGACCAACTCTTGGTTTCGGCTCAGGTAATGATCTCCTGGTTGTGGGAGCAAGCCCCACATTAGGCTCCATGCTCAGTGCAGAGTCTGCTTGAGATTCTCTCTCCCCCTCTCCTTCTGCCCCTCCCTCTGCTCTCATGAGTGCTCTCTCTCTAAATAAATAAAATCTTTAAAAAAAATGCAAAAAAAGAGCGTATGTTCATATTGTCACTTATTTTGTTATTTTTTAAATACACAGATTCATGTATTTTAATCTTCCTCAGTAAAACTGACCGACAATTAAGCATCTAGAATTATCTACGCATTCCTTTATGTATGTTCAGGCTCTAATTAGCCTATGTGTAAGAATTATCATTGGGTATCTACAAGTACTCTAAATTTTAAGGCAGATATTTGTAATCTGGCTGTGTGACACTTACTATTTAATGGCATTTTGACAATTAAGATTTCAATTCCTCCTTAATCGCAGGAAACAAACTGAGGGTTGCTGGAGTGGGGGGTGGGGTGGGAGGGATGGGGTGACTGGGTGATAGACACTGGGGAGGGTATGTGCTCTGGGAAGCGCTGTGAATTGTGCAAGACTGTTGAATCTCAGATCTATACCTCTGAAACAAATAATGCAATATATGTTAAGAAAAAAAAAAAGAAGAAGAAGAAGAAGGTAGCAGGATGGGAAGAATGAAGGGGGGGAAATCGGAGGGGTAGATGAACCATGAGAGACGATGGACTCTGAAAAACAAAGTGAGGGTTCTAGAGGGGAGGGGGTGGGAGGATGGGTTAGCCTGGTGATGGGTATTGAGGAGGGCACATTCTGCATGGAGCACTGGGTGTTATGCACAAACAATGAATCATGGAACACTACATCTAAAACTAATGATGTAATGTATGGGGATTAACATAAGAATAAAAAAAAAAAAAAAAGATTTCAATTCCTCAAGACAGAAACCCAGGGTTCAGAGTTGACTCTGGACTGAAGAGAGAAAGAGAGTTCTAAAAAACAGGGAATCATTCCACATTTAAATGGTGGTGTGAAGACCACAAACATCAAACAGAACTGTTAAAGTAAGGTATGACTACTGGATCTTAGAGCCCTCCCGCCTCTTACCTATCATTTCCCAGGTAAGTTTCCTCTCTAGCCCCTTTCTCAAACGAAATATTTCCCTAAGAATTTCTACCCAAAGACTTGCTTCAGGCCCCAAATTTTGTGCCTCAGACAGAAACCTTCAAAAGCAGTTTACTGTCCTCCAGATTACTGACCAAACTAAACCAGAACCCATATTAATCCAAAATTACAGTATGTCTGACAACTCTTCTTCACTTGGAGCAAGGTATAGTTGGTAAGACTATTTACTACATCTATAAAGAAGGCCGTGTTTTGCTTTAAGATTTTATTTATTTGTGAGAGAGAGAGCGAGCACGTGCACGTGCACAAGCAGGGGGAGGGGCAGGCAGAGGGAGAAGCAGGCTCCCTGCTGAGCAAGGAGCCCCATGTGGAACTCAATCCCATCCTGGGATCATGACCTGAGCTGAAGGTAGACGCTTAACACTGAGCCACCCAGGCTTCCCAAAAGGGCTGTGTTTTGAGGACAAGTTGCTGCAAAATTTTAGAGTCACAGAAACAGTTCAAAAAGAGGGGAGTGCAGGGCGCCTGGGTGGCTCAGTCGTTAAGGTCTGCCTTCGACTCAGGTCATAATCCCAGGGTCCTGGGATCGAGCCCCGCATCGGGCTCCCTGCTCCGTGGAAGGCCTGCTTCTCCCTCTCCCACTCCCCCTGCTTGTGTTCCCTCTCTCGCTGTGTCTCTCTCTGTCAAATAAATAAATCTTTAAAAAAAAAAAGAGAGAGAGAAGTGATTATTTAAAAAATGTTCCCCGTCCTCCCAAGGTCTATATATTCAAAATACAATGTAGACTTTGTTATGTCATAATAACCAGTAGCACTTAAAATCTTGATGTTTTCATTGTCAGTTTTTCACACACAAACCCTAAAATGGTAAGATATTTGCTATATTCAACACATGCCAGAAAAGCAGAGTCCACTGTGGCAGCACTGAGTCCTAACTCACAGGAACATGGGAACATTTTTACATTCAGTAGTACACAAGTTTTACTGCAATTCAAGCCTATATTGGACAGAAAGTTATCAAATCTGATCACGTTCTTCTTACTCTGTGCCTAGCAAAAGAAGAATCAAAGGTGGATACAAAAACCATAACCGTTTTCTACTTAGAGAAAGCTCACCTGTTTATCCAGGGTTTTATTGAGATACCACCTCACACCAGTCAGGGCTTTATTTCTATGGTTACACTGTTGCTGAGACTTCAACCTCAAAAGGCACCTTTGTTTATTTAGGAAGATTATAATTTAAGTTGAAATATTTTTTTAAAGATTTTATTTACTTATTTGACACAGAGAGAGAGACAGCGAGAGAGGGAACACAAGCAGGGGGAGTGGGAGAAGGAGAAGCAGGCTTCCCACTGACCAGGGAGCCCAACTCGGGGCTCGACTCCAGGACCCTGGGATAATGACCCGAGCCGAAGGCAGATGTTTAATGACCCAGGCACCCCGTTAAGTTGAAATATTTTTACAGGAAACTTCATATTGTTAAAACCAAAATATATATATATATACCAAGCCTACATACAGATCTACTGAGAATCCTACTCACTGGGAAACATGTATTGTTCACTGTTAACCATGAGGGTTAAACCATTTGTCAAACCAACTCTTCCTTGGCTGGGCCACTAGAGAGTGCTAGACATGCAGTTACACAGGACCCAAATGATACAAAAATGAACCTCCCCCCACCCCCCCCAAAAAAATCTGGAGCAGAAAAGACGAAGGACATTAGGATTCCTGGCTGGTATACTACAAAAAGGTATTGCAACAGTGACAGATCTGAAATTTGAGGTAAGTATTTATCACCACCTCTTGTCTGTCAATAACTCAAGTTTTTTAAGTGAATAATAGAGATGTGCTTCAACAGCTCCCAAACTAAGCAACTGACATTAAAGGATTAATCCAAGACATATAGCAAAAGAAAAAGTGATTCCTTACTTTAGGAAAGGAGACAAAGTTAATGATGTGTTAAACTTGACTCCTTCAGCTTTGTTAAAAATTTACAGGGGAAGGGGAGAGAGAAGATAAAAGCAGGGGATTCCTTAAGTAAGGAATCCAATGTGGAGAGGAACCTTACACACACCATATCAATCTCAACCACTAAACTAATGACATGGAGCAGTAACAAGATTATCACCTGAAGACCATCGCTTTCAACCAGGATATTTTTTCAGGAGCACACAATTTCATCAGCAAGAATCTCACTCTGATCCTAACAGAAATCATCTCTGACTTCAGTTCATCCTAAGAGGTAATGCTTCCCAACACCATCACTAATAAAAAGAAAGAAAACTGGTGCTTAACCCCTACAATCTCAGGGGATGTTAGTTTAAAAAAAATTTTTTTTTTAAAAAGCTACAAGGTGGAAAGAGCCTCAAACCTCCGAACCTCACTGAACTGCAAAATCGCGTTACACTGTAACAAGATTTATTCAGATAATACCGTTATTTTCTGATTTCCACATAATTAATAAGCCTAATGGGGCATTCATCTGAAAAAGATAACACTAAAGGTAATTTCCTCAACGTCTCACGGAGGTGATCAGTTTCTTACTAAAGCCTCCTAACGCAGAAGGCACGCCTCTGTCCCACTTTCCCGTCAAACCGATCTTTTCTTTTAAATCCACTCCTCCGTAGCTACAAGCGATTCTCCAAAACACATCGTGCTGATAACGAAATGGCCTTCCCAGATATAGGTGTACAGTGGCTTGACTTGCTCCATTTCCAACTGCTCACCCCCTCCACCCACGTCCGTATCTGAAACGAGGCGGGACGATGCCGTCTCCCTGCATTCCTTCCTGCAGACCCTGGAGCCGGTGCGGTGTTCTGCCCAAGCACCACACCGTTGTAGCTTCATACTGACAACTCCCGGTCGAGACACACGGCTGTTTCCCTGACCCAGGTAAGCCTTAACGCACGCTCCAGATTAATGGGTGCTCAGTATGGTGGCAGGGGACGGACCCACAGCAGACCACCCAACAGGCCCCGGGGTCTTTGTCCCTTTTTAGTTTTCTGTCCTACGTCTGCTCATTGCCCCCATCCCCGCCCCCGAACCCTTCCCTGCCCCGGAGGGTTCCTCGGTGAGGCCTAGCGCTGGAACCTGGGACACCTTCCTTCTCCGTACCAGGCTTCCACCGTTACCCCGGAGAAGAAAACCACCCGCTTCCCAGATCTGCACTCGCCCACCTCCGGAACTGGACACGCCCCAAACCCCGCCCCTGCTCCGCCCCCACCCCCGCAGCGGAGGGGGAGGAAGACGGGGGAGGGGAAGAGAGGGGGCGGGAGGACCGAGGCGGAGGGGAAGGGGAGGGAGGAGGAGGAGGGAGGAAGGGGGAGGAGAAGGGAGGTGGGGAGGGAGGGGAAAAAAGGGGAGGGAGGGGAGGGGGCAGGGAATAAGAAAGAAGAGCCCTCTCGGGCCCCCCCACCCCACCCCGCCGGCTAGCGTAGCCCGGGAGGGGTCCGCAGGAGGCTAACAAGCCCTCCCTTCCTTCTCCTCGCACCCCAACAGGGCCCAGAAGCCCCACCACCACCCACTTGCTGGGCAACGCTGCAAAAAGAGGGGTCTGCCCCGGCTCCCAGCTCAGCCCGCAGTTTTCCGGGGGGAGAGGGGACTCGCACCTTGCGCTTGCGGGCCTCCGCCGTGCCGCTCCACACGAAGCACTGGTAAATGGCCCGCAGGTTCTGCTTCCAGTTGTCCACCTTGAAGCTGCTCAGGTGCGAGCAGCCCGGCGGCGTCACCACCAGCTCCGCGTCCATGGCCTCGCTCTCCGGCTCGGGCCGGGACACCATGGGGGGC